AATATCTTGACTTCTCACTGTGGTCTGATATTAGTTAGAGTGACATTTCTGTCAGATACTGTGCATTCCCTTTTTCACTTCACTGATCACACACCAGATGTTCTTACACGGAACCGATATTGAGGCTGAGAATCCTCCTCCTCCTCCTCCTCATCATCTTCACTAGAGTCATCCTCAACCCTGTCCCAGCGTGCATAATCCAGAGTCGAGTGTCCCTTTGGTTTTGGGATTGCTTGCCATCCATTAGAATTCTGTTTAATTGATTCTTTTGTCCCAGCATCAGCTTCAACAGGAGCAGTCTTTCTAGGCTCAGCCTTCCGCTGTGCTTGAGCAATAACTTCAGCAGTAATAGTTTTTCTAGGCTCAACTTTCTTCCTAGCTTGAGCAATAACCTCAGCAGCAATGGTCTTTCTTGGCTCGGATTTTTTATCTATACTTTCCACAGAAATCTTCTTGATGTCTGGTGTTTTATGAACAATAACTTCAGCATCATTTGTAGTCTGACAAGGCTCATTTTTCTGATTTATATCTACCAGTGCAGTAGCTGGGTCTTGTTTTTCCACTTGTCCACACGGTTCTGCTTCATTTTCATCTTCTTCCTCTTCTTCTAACTCCACTTCAGATTCAGGTATTGGAGCTAGAGACTTTCCTTATGCAAAAATAAAAAATAAAAATTTCTTTAACTCACATTAAGGACAGTAATATCTAAAAAATCACAATCTTCACCACAAAACATTAGTCAGACTAGTCTCAGTGACACAATAACATTTAGGAATTTGGTCATATAGAATCCCAACCATTTCCATGTAATGCAAGGCTGAAGAAGTAGTTCTTCTTCAGCCTTCCAAATGTTTTTATGAGATTATTCCATTTTCATTTAATTTTTGTTTTGTTATCAAATAAGATTACTGAGATATTTTAAGAATATTTATAGGGTATGATTTTTCATAATATTGCAAGAGTTTTCTTTTTGATTATTCATTATTATTTTTAGGTTTCTTATTGTCATTGGATTTTTTTTATAATTATAATATTAAATTAATCAAGCTTATTAAACTCATTTGAATCAATGATCCAAATCCCAAGTTTTTCCTACTACTTTAAAAATGTTGAATTCCAAATTTTTCTTTTTACTTTAAAAATTGATATCATCGTGTAAACATTTTTGTTTTTATGTCAAGAAAAAATTAACCCAGTCCAGAGCCCCGAGCTTAAAAATGTAACCTTGTGACTTATAAAAGGATCCAATTCATATAGTGTATCCTTTTTTACGCTTGATTTGTATTTTACTTTGGTCATTGAATTATTATTTTTTCAATTTGATGATTTTATATTATGTTAATTAATGATCAGTGTTGATGATTTGTTTCATGTTGTTTTTTTTTTGGATTTTCACAGTGTCAGGAAAACATCAAGCCATTGAGTTAGTTTTTAATTTTTTGAAGAAGATTTTGGTTTAGTTGCTTAGAAAGAATTAAATATGAGGGACCAAAATGGAAAATGAGGTGAAATTACAACCCTTTATTTCAACATATATATTTTTTTCTTTTTCGATCCTTTATTTTTTTTTTCAGTCTTACTATCAAGCTTTTTTTCTTTATTTTTCTCTCACTTTTATGCTTTTATATTACATTGATTGGTGATTTGGTTTGATGATTTGTTTCATATTACTTTCTTTTGGTCACTGTAGTCTTAATAGAAAAACCTTTCAATATTTTATTTGAATAGGAAAAAATATAATGGCCTGAGCATGTGGGCTTCGGTTGGCCTGCACATGTATTTATGTTTATTTTTAAAGGTCTAGACAGGTAAGGTCTATGTCTAGCTTTTCTTTTCATTTTTTTTTATTTTTAATAAATAAATTCATTTAATATATATAATTTCTTTTAAATTATTATATTAATTAAAAATATTTTACATATTATTTTATTAAATTCCATTTATTTTTACTCTGTTCTATCATTTTCTCTTTTTTTTACTATCCATCATAATTAATTTCTTTATTTTATTTGATTGCTTTACTACAATTATAGATTTTTACTGTTATATAATTAAATAAAATATAATTTTATAAAACAAATTTATTAAATCTAATTGAGCTTATAATTTGGTTATAAATTTGATATGTTAATCTAAATCCAATTGATATATCGTTACCTTGATATTTTTTTAAAAAAATATCCTCTCTAGATTTGTTTTAAGTCCATACATATAACACCCCTTGTTTTTTTTATTATAAATTTAACTAATATATTTCACAACACAACTAGAAATGGGGTAATTTTATTTTTATTTTTATCAACTCTATTGATCATAAAAGATACTTTGGTTTGACCTTTATTAACATTAAATGAAATCTAATAGTCTTTCAAATTCATGTATCTTTTTAACAAGATTTTAGCAAAGTCTTCTATGAAGTCCAATCCAAAATTTTATCTTATTACCTACATTAAAACATATTCTAATAATTTAACATAGATGCCTCATACATACCAACAATTCATTTTTATCTCTCAAATCTCTTTATAATTTATCCATAGTCCATGTAATACTTCTATTTTATTCTTTTCATTAGGAGACTATATATCTTACAAATTTAAATGCATGACTGAATTTAAGTAAATATTTAACATACATAATAATATCATAATAACATTCCATTCTTAATACATCCCAAAATAAAGTTATTACAATAACATAACTTTTCAAAATATATAGATTTTATACTTAATAAAATGTAAAATAATAAACTAAATCAGCGTTGTTCTATTAAGAAAGATAAACCTGCAAAAGTTATAACATGTAAGTAAATGAGATATATCATTTGATGATTTAATATTTTATAAATTTAATTCTCAACTAATATATTAACTCAATATTGTTAATAATTCAAATTTTCCTTCTTTATATCTATAAGTCACCTTTAATATTAGCAATTCAATACACACCTAACCTTTTAGTTATTGCCCATACAAAATACTAAGCCATTTATTTATTATACCATTCATCATCTGAATTATCCAAGAAGCCTTTTACATATCTTTTTAGTCATTATCAAGATATCATTAAGTATTAAAACACATTCATTTTTTTTTCTTTGTCATATTCATCATTTCTTATCATCAATATTAATAATTGTTTCTTTAGCTACCACCATTATGATATACTAAATAACGGACATCATTTGAGTCCGTTAACATTACCGATCAATATAGATAATCATTTTCCTAGCTTCCATTATCATGACATGCTAAGTACCAGATATCCTTTAAATCGATCAACATTATCAATCAACATCGCCAATCATTTCTGTAGCTTCCGCTATCTTAATGTACCAAGTATTGGACATTCTTTGAGTCCATTAACAATATCTCTCAACACCAAGAATCATTTACTTAACTTCTACCATCATGACATGCTAAGTATCATACATCTTTTAATTTCATCAATATCATCAATTAACAATGATAATCATTTTCTTAGTTTTCACCATCATTGCATGCTAAGTATCTGACATTCTTTGAGTCCATCAACATTATAATCTTTGACAAATAAATAATTTTATTTGATTTGAGTTGAATCCCTCTTTTTTTTTTACTAGATTATCAACTTCTAATTAAATTGGATCATACAAGATTTTTCCTCTTTTGAGTTAACTCATGACATTTCTATTTCCAATGCCATTTGCACTTACGCACATTAATGAAAACAAGACAATAATAAAAATTATTAAAATTTAAAATAGAACAAGATGACATACACCTATTTTCTCATATTATCACCTTTGCTCCCTCTAATAATTGACCCATTCCTGATATTACTCCTGATTTCAATAAGAAGATTCAAGATTAATTAATGTATCTCTCAAAAATGAAGTATCCATACTCAAATCAACCCACTTTCCACTTAATGCTAACATATATCATCTTTTTACTCAGTAAATACTAATCATACAAAAATATCACATGGTTTAACGCTCCTTCATTGTAAAACTTCATATCATAGGTTAACCCTTCAAACTTTTAACTTGGATCATAAGAATAGGATAATATCGTAGACATCAAATCAAAATAAATTATAAAGTATAATTTCTAATTAACAAAATATTGAAAGATAAAGTAAAAAAAATCAATTAAAAAAAAAAACTTGAGTCCACCTAGGTTAATCTAACAAACCTACTACTTAGATTACAAGATTGGGATAAGCCAATAAAAAATAAATCGAAACAAAGATTGAAACTTAATTTCTAATAAATTCAATGTTAAAGGATTAAACTAAAGAAAAAAACTCAATTAAAAAATAACCAAAGTCAACTCAATTCAACCCTCTAAACCTGTGAATCGGTAATGAAATCAAGATAACTTCATAAAAAAAATCAAATTTATAATGTCTAATTTCCAATCAATCTAAAATTGAATGATAAAATTGGAAAAAAAATCAATAAAAAGACAAAAAACTTAAGTTTACTCTTGTTGACCCACTAAACTTGCAACACAAATTATATGATCGAAATAACATTATAAAAAATAAATCAAAACAAATTATGAAACCTAATACCCTAATAAACCTGTGTGTGTGTGTCTATATATATATGAACAAAAAATTTTAAATCCATCCGGATTAACCTGCTAAACTCGTAATTCAAATTATGAGACCAAAATAACCTCATAAAAAATAAATCAAAACAAATTATTAAGCTCAATTTTTAATTAACCTAATATTAAAAGTAAACGAAAATCAATTAAAAAAACTCAAATAAACCTGGATTTACTCAGCCCAGCCCAAGTCATGAGACCAAAATAACCTTATAGCAAACAATTCCTTATAAAAAACAAATCAAAGCAAATTATAAATTTTAATTTCTAATAAATCCAATATTAATAAATGAAATTGAGAAAAAAAAAACTATTTCAATAAAGGTAAGTTGTGAGGTGTGCAGTGAATTCACTCATCTTTCTAGTTTTCTAGTTTTTGTTAGTAAATAATAATAGTAATAATTATAATAATAATAATAATTAATAACCACATAAATGCTTCAAGATTATGATACATATACAAATGATGGATAGTACGCTCTCATAGAAAGTTGAAGGTTACAAACTGCTACTCTAATAACAATTATAGCTCAACAAGTTTTCAGTTGACTCCTTGCCCCTCCAAACCAGGGCTGGGAATTTCTGTAATTTGCAAAGAAAGATGCAAAGCTTATCACCATCAACAACTACTCAACTTCTTCACCTGATCATGCGGGAATGTAGAGCATAAGAATCACATCACCATAGCTAAAACAGGGAAACTTGCTCGAGTAGCAGGTAGGAGATCTCTTCTGTCATTGCTTAAGCAGGGGACATATTTCAACTGTTACCAAGCATAAATGCATGTCAAAGATGGATTATCCCCATTTTCAAAGTTTTGGCATGATGGAGCCAACAGTGCTTCCTCATCTGCCCCTGTCCAGTTCCAATATCTTGACTTCTCACTGTGGTCTGATATTAGTTAGAGTGACATTTCTGTCAGATACCGTGCATTCCCTTTTTCACTTCACTGATCACACACCAGATGTTCTTACACGGAACCGATATTGAGGCTGAGAATCCTCCTCCTCCTCCTCCTCATCATCTTCACTAGAGTCATCCTCAACCCTGTCCCAGCGCGCATAATCCAGAGTCGAGTGTCCCTTTGGTTTTGGGATTGCTTGCCATCCATTAGAATTCTGTTTAATTGATTCTTTTGTCCCAGCATCAGCTTCAGCAGGAGCAGTGTTTCTAGGCTCAGCCTTCCGCTGTGCTTGAGCAATAACTTCAGCAGTAATAGTTTTTCTAGGCTCAACTTTCTTCCTAGCTTGAGCAATAACCTCAGCAGCAATGGTCTTTCTTGGCTCAGATTTTTTATCTGTACTTTCCACAGAAATTTTCTTGATGTCTGGTGTTTTATGAACAATAACTTCAGCATCATTTGTAGTCTGACAAGGCTCATTTTTCTGATTTATATCTACTAGTGCAGTTGCTGCGTCTTGTATTTCCACTTGTCCATACGGTTCTGCTTCATTTTCATCTTCTTCCTCTTCTTCTAACTCCACTTCAGATTCAGGTATTGGAGCTAGAGACTTTCCTTATGCAAAAAAATTTTTCTTTAACTCACATTAAGGACAGTAATATCTAAAAAATCCCAATCTTCACCACAAAACATTAGTCAGACTAGTCTCAGCAACACAATAACAATCAGGAATTTGGTCATATAGAATCCTAACCATTTCCATGTAATGCAAGGCTAAAGAAGTAGTTCTTCTTCAGCCTCCCAAATGCATAGCTTCCAAAAAACATAAGGAAAAATAGGTTTGCCAACAAGAAAGCCCAACTTGTAATTCCTGAACAGCCCCCAAATTTTAACTCTTATAGAGCACAAGTTTAGCATCCTAGCACAAGCACCAAATACTTGGACCTCTACTTGTCATGTCAGTCAACGGTGGCATCTCTCTATAACAAATACGTAGCATGATAGATTAGCTAACAATGATCAAAATATTCCTTCTAAGTAGTTTAGGAAAGCTCCCAAGACAAACGGAGAATCAATATAAAGACAGGTTGTGACTAAGGAAAATGACCACTTGTATTGCAGATCTCTAGTAAAATTCACCAAAATATTATAGCAGAGTACATCATTGGGCCTCATGCTCCGCTTCCAATTGGTAAAATATCCATGATGTTTTATATCCTAAATTATATTGGGGGGGTAGATAATCTTCTGAAAATAAAAAACAGAGAGGGTGGAAGGTATACCAATTGTGTCCTCAGACGAGCTTCAAGATTCTGGTAAACTTCTGATGAAGGATTCAACTCCATCAGCCTATTGACATCAAAGAGTGCTGAGGTGTACTCCTTAAGGGTGACTAGAGTCTGTGCCCGCAACATCAATGCTCCAGTATGATTGTGATCAAGCTCAAGCACTGATGTACATTCTTCAGCTGCCTAAAATAAAATCATCAACCAACAGTAAATGTTGGTTAATATTCACCAAAAAGCAAGTTTCAAGGTAGCACTTTCATACAACAGAATAAAATCCCTATCCAATCTTCCAACCTCTTACCACAGCCATGCCATTCCATCTGAAATAACATTTTTCATTATTAAGTTCTCCCAAGTCCCAATAATAGTCCACACACACGAATTCCTCCCCTTCTTTCCTATTGCTCCAATAAATTCACCTCCAATATGGATAGCAGATACAAGAAATTTTGAGAGACCAAGCGATTTTTTAATTATTTTATTATTTTGATATTGATGAATCCAGGCATTTTATGTCTCTTAGACATATTAAAGGCCATTCTAGATCAAAATTTGGTTTCAAAAAATCACAAAAACGCTTCTAAAATCTATAGTCTCCTCCTAATTCCCATAAGCCCAGTTCAAAAATTTCTATAAAAAAGATTATCAATATAGCTATTCTACATCAAACTTCAGTGGTAAACAATCAAAACCCAGAACTAAAATATCCAATCTTCACATAACATGACACTTTCTTGCATAAAAAAGACGCCAGCCCATCAAAAATCAGAATCCAAAAATCCAAACTGTACATCACAAACCACTTCCTTAGCATAAAATAACAAGAACCCTTTATTTCGAAATCATTAAAAGAATATAATAGTTGATACCTTTTTGAAATCATGCAATTTCAAATAACAAGCAGCTCTATTACTATGCAAAGCAATCTTTTGTGGCTTAGTTTTAGCCATGGAAAGTGCCTCTGTGTAAAATCCAAGCGCTTCCTCGTAGTTTCCATCTCTGTACATTTGATGTGCTGTCTCAATCTTGTTTGCCATCACCACCATCAAAACCAACCAATCTGCACCCTTCAAAATCAAGAACTAAGATATTCAAAAATAAAATAATGATGACAACTTTTCTTGGTAGGAAGATGAGCAATAATAGGGAGGGAGAAAGGGACGAGCAATAATAGGATTACAATGAGTGAAGCTTAAGAAAGGGTTTTGTTTTAGAATCTACTAATTTTTGTGTTTGAAATCTGATATTAATCAGTAATTAACGAGAGAGAGCGAGCGAGATTATAATACGTGGGTGTTTTTTGTTTCGAGTTTGAAATAGGTGGACGATCTTATTGGTCAAGCGAGGGGACCCGTTAATATAATATTTGGTCCCTCTTCTCTCAAAGTTTTCCTAGTTTGATCCCTTACTCTTATTTGTCTTTATGGCATTCTTCGTTCTGTATTTATAATTATTAAATCATCCTTAGTAAGAGTTATATCACAGGGATAAGCACTGTTAGGTGAAAAATAGACATGTGCGAGCGCTATTCACGGGTCGGTATTTTTTCTCCATTTATAAAATGATGTATAGATACTGCAAGCGCATCTCAAACCGGGAAAACAAAAATCAATAATTTAAAATTAAGTTTAATAAATTAATTTTATTTTAATGAGATGATAAAAAATAAGAAACAATAATAAATGGACAATTTTATTTTTTAAAAAAAAGATCATGATACTTAAAAAAATATTTGAAAATAAAAAATTAAATAAAAAATAAATAAACAATAAGTGCTGGTTAACTTAAGACAGTGTGATAAACATATAACTTAAGTAATAAGAAACGATGCAACCTAAGTTAATCCTAAAATTTATGATCTAGATTATGAGATCAGGATAATCTAATAAAAAATTAAAAAAAATTACAAAGAAAATCTTTGTTAAAAAAATTAATGTTGAACAATGAAATAAATAAAAAAAGATGTTAACTTTCGTTAACTTTTTAAACTAGTAATCTGGATCATTAAACCATAAACATCATATATGAAAAAACAATACAATCCCCAACTAATTAAAGGCTGAAGAATAAAATTGAAAAAAAATTAAATTGGACAAAAGAAACTAAAACAAAAAATAATAATTAAAAGAATAATGATGAAAATAAAATTTAATAAATAAATAAATCAAAGGGCAACTATTTTTTTATTAAAGGATTAAATTAAAAAGAAAAATAACTCTAACAAAATGAGAAAAATTCAAAAAAATAAGAAAGTTGAAAAAAAAAAACACGCTATTGACTTTGGATTGAAGGTTGAAATTAAAAATCAATAAAACTCTTATAAAAAGACCAAGGAAAAAAATATAAAATTAAAAAAATAAAAATCAAATTGAAAAAAAATTAATATATAAAAAATTTTAATTGAAGCATTGAATTAAAAGGGATTTTTTTTTATTTACAAAAGGACAAATGACAAAATTTGGAAATTAAAGAAAAAAAATAGAAGCCAAAAACTCATAAACAAAGAGGAACAAAATGCAATTTGAGGGTATGAGAGGAAAAAAAAAATCCATCTATTATATAATTTTTGTCAATACGTGTATATCAAGAGAAGAAAAGAACATAAAAATGCTTTCAATTACATGATAAAATGATAATTTTGACCGTTAGAAGATATTATATAAACTACTTAAAGTATGTTGTTGACACTTTTTACGTGCTCGTGTATGCAATAAACATGCTAATAATTTTTTTATTTTTTTTGAAAAAAGATCATAATACTTAAAAAAATATTTGAAAATGAAAAATTAGATAAAAAATAAATAAACAATATGTGTTGGTTAACTTAAAGCAGTGTGATAAACATGTAATTTAGATAATAAAAGATGATGCAACCTGAGTTAATCCTAAAATTTATGATCTAGAACATGAGATTAGGATAACCTAATAAAAAATTAAAGAAAACCACAAAGAAAATCTTTGTTAAAAAAGTTAATGTTGAACAATGAAATAAAAAAAATAAAAAAAAGATGTTAACTTTTTAAACTAGTAATCTGGATCATTAAACCATAAACATCATATATGAAAAAACAATATAACCCCAACTAATCAAATGCTGAAGAATAAAATTAAAAAAAAAAATTAAATTAGACAAAAGGAACTAAAACAAAAAATAATAATTAAAATAATAATGATGAAAATAAAATTTAATAAATAAATAAATCAAAGGGAAACTATTTTTTTTATTATAGGATTAAATTGAAAAGAAAAATAACTCTAAAAAAATGAGAAACATTCAAAAAAAATAAGGAAGTTGAAAAAAAAGCAACACACTATTGACTTTGGATTGAAGGTTGAAATTAAAAATCAATAAAACTCATATAAAAGGATCAAGAAAAAAAATATAAAATTAAAAAAATAAAGATCAAATTGAAAAAAATTAATATATGAAAAATTTTAATTGAAGCATTGAATTAAAAAGGATTTTTTTTATTTACAAAAGGACCAATGACAAAATTTGGAAATCAAAGAAAAAGAATAGAAGCCAAAAAATCATAAACAAAGAGGAACAAAATGCAATTTAAAGGTATAAGAGGAAAAATAAAAAAAAAGATCCATCTACTATAAATCATATAATTTTTGTCGATACATGGTACATCAAGAGAAAGAAGAGAACATGAAAATACTTTCAATAGATACTTTTCACGTGCTTGTGCATGTAATAAATATGTTAATAATTTTTAAAATTTAGTAATATTTAATTTTTATTGAAAAACCATAATACCCTTAATAAAATAATAAATAACAAAAAAAACACGATGAAAAATACATGAAATGTCCATTATTGAAGTATTTTTTTTTTTAAAAAAAACCTTTGAGGGCATTGAAGTGATTTTAGTATCTCTGAAGTAAAAACTAAAATTGTCCCTGGAGGCATATATTTGTCTCGAAAGGCATTTTAGTATTTCTTGTGTTCATAAAAAAGAAGAAGAAAAGAACCATATTAGTCACGTAAGCAAAGTCAAATGTTATTCGATTAAAGAGGAAAATCATCGTTGAAATCCCGGGTGAAATGAGTATGTTCCTCCCCTTCCCCTTTTAGTTTCTTTTATTAATATTAATTTGAAACAATTTTGTGCAATAAATCATTTAGGTAATTACCCAAATTTCTTCCATGTAAACTCGGATAAAGATACAAAAACTAGATATCCAAATCAGCAAAATTTTATTTTATTTTAAGCTTTAAAATATTAGAAATAATATTATTTAGAATCCAAAATGCAATGCAATTTAAAGGTTTGTAGTATATGTTGTCAGAGGTTCAGGCTTTTAATTGTATTTTTTTTTAGCTTAAAAAAATTAATCAATAATTAATTTAAGATAATCAACTGATTTTGTTTAATATCTTTTTTCCAGTCATGACGTTTAAGTAAAGAATTATTTAATCTAAAATAACATTTTTCATTTAACTTATCCGTAAATGAATATCAATGATTGTCGATTATATCAATATTTTTATTCATAAATAACAATTTCATTATATATATATATATATTCGAGTATTCATTATTTGATTAGCATTTATTATTCAAAATAAAATTTTAAAAAAAGAATTACACATAATATATACACACTGATATAAAATTAAATTTTAAAAAATAAAAAATAAAAAATATTAATTTAATATATTTTTCAATAAAAAATACTTTAAAAATATTATAATACAAAGACTACCTTAAAGCTATTAATGACAGAAGAACCAAATTGATTACAAAGCAGAAGTGCAAAAAGGTAATATTAAGATAAAGAAAAGTAAGGGAACCAAACTAAGATAAAGCTGAAAGTAGAGGGATCGAATGCATCATTCGGTCCATTTGACGGAAAGTTCTAAATGGGGGACAAATGGAGACAAGCAACATATTGAGACGAACCTGCGCCTTTAAGGCTCCCTTTCTTGTTTCTCCATTTTTTTATACTTAAAGTTCATACATATCAACTTTCACTCTAGATATTTGAAGTTTTTGAACTTATAAGTCAAAATAGTTCAAGTCTTTTACCAAATCATGGTGATAAATTCGATTTTGTTATAGTAAATGGGATATTTTAGAAATGGATACGTGGTTAGAGTTTATTTTAGAAATTTTTTAATAATTTATGACTCATAAAAAATATTTGAATGAATGACTAATAGATGGCAAGGTCTAAAAGCAACACTTCTATAATATAATAAAAAAATATTTAGAAAAATTATTAATATACTTTGAACGGTAAGGATGGACAATGTAGAGTCTATTATAAATATATAACATGTGATTCTATTTTTACATGGTAAATAATAAAAACTCATCATTTTATGAATATAAATATATTGTTGAATCATATTAAATTTTGTGTTTTTTTTTTGTTTTTCTATTATTGTAATTTTCATCAATAATTACTACAAGTTTTTCACGACAAAATTTAGTTTAGAAGTCTTTTAAAATACACATAATAATCAAAATATTACTATCCACAAAGGGCACTTTTTTTTTTTTTTTGTTAATTCTCATTTTATGAGGGCATTTAGCATCTTTTTTTTTTTTTGGTCAATTCTCATTTTATGAGGGCATTTAGCATAAGAGAGAATAAGAAAAGAAAATTCATGGAAGCAGCGGCTGAGAACATGCTCGTTAATCTCCCATTATAAAACACGTTCACACTCGTGAAGTGGTTGAACCATCCATTCCATGTGCAGTCATGTTGCTAGAAGTTTCAAACAAATGCTGTAATCAATCTGCCATCATATTGGCCCAACTCAACCTCTCTGTACATCCTACTAAATTACAGTTCTCTTCAATAATGAAACCTATGATTGGACAGAAGTTACAACAGAGCTTAATTCTACTACAAGAAAGATGAATGTTACCTTAACTGCACGATTAAAATTCCTAACATTGAATTCTTTTTTTCCCATCAAGAACAGGCAGCGCGTTTTGTAGAATATCAGCTCCAAGGCAAACTTCCTGATCTGCGCTAACTATGAAGCACAAGTTTGACTAAATTTCCATTCCAGCAGTCCACATATATATTTGAATGCTAGAATCTCCAAATGCATCTATGAATAGGGAGGCTGGTACATCCAGCTAACTTCCAATAACAAGCAGAAAACCTCCAATTTCTTTCACACGTGAGTTTCCACCAGGCTTTTGCCACAAATTATTTTGAAATACAGCTCCTTCATACATAAACTAGCTAAAATTTCAATTTCGAGATTTTTTTCAGGCACTCAATTCTGCATGACAAACAAGGGAATCATCAGCAAATGTACTTCCATCCATGGTCACCAACAAACACAGCTCCAATTGGAACGCCTACAGCAAGAATTTGGAATGCTTCAGTATTCCGGGGAAGACCCTATAAACTTCATATGCCCCTTGATACCCTGTGTCAGCTAAACCATGCAAATTACAGAAGCCCTTATAGCCAGCGAATACAAATAAGCATTACAAGGGAAAAAAAAACGCATACAATGATAGCTAATAGCATGTAAAACCAGTAAAATGCTAATTCACCGATGTCTACAGTTTTGAGATTGAATTAAGCACTCCAAAAGAAAAAAAAAACATTTGTGATAAGAAAAAAAGGTTGCAATGGCAGTCGAATCTACAATTAAGTTGCCAGAATAACCAAAGCAGCATCAGTTTTCCAAGTCCACTTCCCCTTTACATCTTGATAACCTTCAAAAAGCCCAGGCACATTTTTTTCACGCGGGACTCTCATAATTACTGAGCATACGTACCAGCAGGCCTCTGGTGGCAGCATCTGCAGGAAATCCTCCACTGTCCGTTTCATCAATAAGTTTCACTTCCGTGGATCCATCCTAGTAGTGAAGAAATGCGTGGATAAGGACATATAAGTGCGCAACCATATGGAACGCAGCGTTCCCCTCAAAAAGCTTGTATGCTTCAATGACTAATCCTTATTTACAAATTCCACTGATTGATGAAGTGTATGCATAAAAACCCTCAACAGCGAATCTAGAATATAGTTCCCTTGCCTCTTTAAGCTTCCCGGACTTGCACGTACCATCAATAACAATGTTGCTGGTTAGCAAGTTAGGCTTTACCACGCTTCTTTGAATATTTTGAAATAGTGCCAACTCCTCATCAACATGCTAATTATACTTTTTCCTCCCCATTATAAATTACCTGGACATTTTTCAAAACTTGAATATACTTGTACACTGCTTAAATAGTTAGTCTTCCATTCCATGGGGACTCATGTAGCTTGCATTTTTAAATAATGCTGTGATCTGCTACCATATTAGTCCAACTCAATTTCTAAATACAGCATAATAAATACAGCTTCTTATATAATCATAACTAGAATCAGAAGTGATAACATAGCAGTCTGATTGTACAAAAGTTAATCATACAACTTAATCCTGCTACAAGAATGAAGAAGTTTACCTACAGCTGAAGCCTGGAGGATTTAATTTCTTCACCTTTTCTAACTTTGAATTATTTCCATTGAGTACAGACACGACAATTTGTAAAATATCAGCTCCAAGGCCAGCAGCTGACCTATTGCTATCAATGGAGGCAAAAGTTTCACTAGATTCCTTTTCCAGCAGTTAATACAAGAAGGGCAGAATTTCCACATGCTTCTACAAGTAGGATGCAGGTTCATTCAGCTTAATTCCAATAATAAGCCCAAAAAATCACTTTTCTTTTCTTTTTTTTTTTGTAATTACAGCGTTCTCTTGTATACACTAGCTAAAGATTCTGGCTCTAAGTTGTCAAATGGTGTTGCGATACAAACAAGGGAAGCGCCAGCGAATGTACTTCCAGGGTCATGATAACTTATCGCTGAAGCAACTCTTCAAGTCACCAAGACAACTCCAATTGGCAAGCCTAGAGAAAGTGGTTTGGCATGTGTCAATACATCCAGGACGACCCCATAAGCTTTTTGCTTGCAAGAGAGACCCTGTTCAGCCCAAACACCATAGCACTTACAGAATGACAGGCCTTGTAAATTTTGGAAGCCATTATAGAAAATTTCCCGAATAAAATTAGTGAATTATGACCGAAATGCATTCAAGGATTGTTAATAGCATGCAAACGCAGTTAGATGCTGATTCACTGATGTCAATTAATTTTTGAGTGCAAAGCACTACAAAATGAAATGGAGGTTTTAGCATGGAAGAGGGCATAGGGGGTGGAATGGGGCCCTGAGGTACAGTGGAAAGAAGTGCGTTGATACTCTTAAATCATCCAGTGATCATCAATGAGGAATTATCTATCAGATCAGGTACTTTGAGAAGAATGATCTCCTTCTTCGTCACCTTATAAACTAGATTCAGGATTGGTTTTAGGTTTTCTTTCCTTCTTCCCTTTCCATTTCTTCTATTTCCAGGTTTGCTTCTATTTTGGTACTTCCAGAGGATTTTCAGATGTAAAACAGTTTAACCAATGGTAGGACTAAATTTTGTCCGTGTGCACGAGTATATAAACATGCTAAATGCAATTTCTAAATTCCTAACAATCAACATTGACCACAAAATCCAACACTTAGCCTTATCATTAATAGTTGATTACTTCATTGATGATCAGCAGAGCCCCTGCATCATAATAAGCAACGTGCCAGAACCCTAAAATATCCTTTTTTTTGCCTGCATAAGGCCTCTTCAGCTTAGATGGGTCCACAAAAGCTTCAGCAGGTGTACAGGTAGTTGTGAAAGAGTGAATTCTTTAGCCAGTACTTACATCAGGGTTTTGAGTTTCTTTGGAACTTCCTGCCAAATTTTATAGCCGAACCATTTGGTTCCATTTCAAAACTTGTAAAAAACAGATCATGATACTTAACGCTTTGCATATGGGAAACACTAAAAGTCTTAAACATTAATATATTTCCATCAGGGCACCATACTACTTGTCTAGTGGAATGTATGAAGCAATATACTTTCTGATGGAACAACTGTTAGATGCTAAGATTCTAAGAATACCTCATAAACGCATTTGAATGCGATACTTTTTTTGTTACTTTTAACAATAGCCCAAGAATAAAAGGATAAATTATGCTAGCAGAATCCAATTATATGACAGTAGCTGTTTCTTTTTTTCGTCAATTTAGCAGTAATGAGAATTCACACCCAGTTGAAAACAAGACAAGGGATGCTGGACTTTGTGCAAAATCATATCATAAATAATATATGAGATGCGATGGAAATAGAATCTACAATCAATCAAGTCAATATCAAGTTTTCAAAGTTTACTTCAACCTTTCACCTCGGCAACCTTCAGAAGGCACAAGTAATTTTTTTAAAGCAAGACTCCCATCAATAGGGAATAGATCTCCCAGCAAGGTTTTGGTGGCAGAATCTGCAGAGAATCCACGATTGACCATTTCATTGAGTTTCCTTGCCTTTGATGTGTCTTTCTGTAGGAGAAATCCTCGGATTATGACATTATAAGAGCAATAATTTGGCATGCATCCATCCTCTTCCATTTCTATAAAAAAGCTCTCGTGCTTCAATTACATTTCATTCCTTGCAAAGTCCAACAATTAGTGTAGTGTATATATAAATATCAGGCTGAAATCCTTGAATACCAAGTCTAGAAAACAGTACCTTTGCATCTTGAATCTTCCCAGACTTGTACATACCATTGATCGATAAGGGTGTTGTAGGTTTCCAAGTCTGGCTAAATATCTCTACTTTGAATCTCTCGAAATAGTGCCGAAGCCTATTCAATATACCCTTGTTTGCAATAGCCATCAAGCAAATTAGTGTAAGTTTTTAAATCTAGAGTATGGCCAGAAGCACGAATGCCCCTGAAAATCTCTTATTCATCACAGATCGTCCATACTTGACAGAAGCCCTTTATGAAAGTATTGTAATTAACTATACCAGGAAAAAAGCCTTTATGAGACATTTTATCAAAAAGTTGCATTGCTTCATCTATCCTTTCCATCTTACAATATCCACAGATCAGGGTGTTGTACTTAGAAACACTGGGCATAGCACCCTTGCCAAATACTTTTTTTTTTGGCTTCATCCATTTGCCCTCGCGAAACAAAAAGGTGTTGTACTTAGAAACACTGGGCATAGAACCCTTGCTCATCATCACACCAAATACTTTTTTTTTTTGCTTCATCCATTTGCCCTCGCGAAACAAAATCCATTCATCAGTGAATTGTATGCAACAACATCTGGCACACAACCTACGCTTTTCATTTTCCCAAGCAATCCATCTGCCTCAATGATTTTACCAACTTTACGAAGGCTGTTTGCGATCGTGCTGTAAGTATATGAATTGAGTCGATATCTCTTAGCCAACATTTCATTAACCAGTTTCAAAGCTTGATACAAAATACCATCTTTACACACCCCATTTACTAAGGTAGTAAATGTTGAAGTACCAGACTGAAAACCGCATTTACGGATATTTCTCAAGAGAGGGAACCCAGAATCAACACAACGTAAATGGCAGAAGCAATTGATCAAGATGTAAAGAGTACAAACATCATGAGGAACTCCAGCAAGTTCCATTTGTTTGGACAAAGAAACCACAGTCTCATATTCTTTCACGTCCACAACTGTCGATAGTAAATTATTAGATTCGACAATAGAAGGGAGAGGTTCCCTGCCAATCATGGCGTTGAAAGAAGCGAGGGCATAGTGATCAATCTTACTAAACAAGACCTTATTGCTAATTGTACAAGGAGAAATGTTAAAAGAGGAAAACAAAACCATGTCCATTTGATGTTGAATGCCAAACATTGAATTTCTAGCCAGCAAAACACTTGCTCGAGTGATCGCCATTGCTGCCTTTATTTGATGCCAGAAGCAAGGGTGCCAACTCCAATTCCGTTTCGGTGGGTGATTAGTTTTTCAACTGAAATGGAATGCTGTAGTTTTGAAATGCTTTGATGTATCGTTTCAGAAACATATATATATATATATATATATATATATATAATAATAATAATTTATGGAAAAAACCGCGTATTTTAATACTAGATTTATATTTCCACAATATAAAAAAATAACAAACCATAAACCAAATACACGAGAAAACCAATGATATTACTCCAGCTTGATTTATGTGGTTGGGCTGAACCTAGCAGGCCTAGCTGGATCACTGGCCCAAACGAATGACTTGGTTGGGCACTATTATAGATTGCATGCGTGAATTACTCAATACATGCACTGTACAGTGCGAAGGTAATTAATTTACCTTCGCACGGTGCCTAAATGCTTTAGTAAATGCAAAACAAGAACAGGGAAAGAAAGACTTACCTAGAGAGGCAGCGGCTGGAGGCGAAGTGGAGGAAGACGACTGGTTGCTGCTCACGAAGGACGCCCCTGCTTGCTGTTCACGGTGGAGCCAGG